GAGGGAGGGAGGGAGGGAGGGAGGGAGGGATAGAAATGAAAAAATCAATAGATACATTAATTTTTTAAAAATAGAATGCAAAAACGTTTTCACATGTTTATTTGCCCTGCTAAACAAGAATGGTTTCCTTCTGCGTCCTTTCCTTCTTCACTCTGGTCTCGGGCCACATGGTCTGATAGTAAATTATTTACATCATCATCGACACAATTTAGACTATTTAAGGGTTGCATTGACCATGTCAGAGCCAACCCAATTCTGCTTGGAAGGCAGTGTCCCAGCAGACAGACTTCCAATACAGCCGAAACCCTTTACGACGGCCACCCAAAGTAAAGGAGAAAAGTAGCGTATTAGACAGGTGGGCGTCTGAGACGGTTTCATTACAATGTAAAAAATACACAAGGGAGGAACTGGGAAGTGGCCATTTGTTCAGGTGATTGTCTTATACAGTGGTCGCGTGAGCTGGTTCGGCTGTTTGATACAATTAACACCCGATACAATAATTTGCCTGAGCGGAAATCGAACTTAAGTCTCCTGCGAAGGGCGTTAAGCATAACACGTCAGACCTCGGAGCCTGTAGCTCCACCTTTGAAATGATCTCCTCGTCTAGCAGATTGTTAAAGCTTGAAGGCAGTATAATAATACATACATATAATAATAAGTTTGATCAGCAGCCCACCAAAGGCAATGCAGCGGCACATTTTAAACCACCATACACAATAAAAACACGAAATTGGTAGATTTCTAAGTAGATCTATGCTTTTTTGTGTGAGTGCCGTTTCAAAATTCAAATAGAGAAAACGAAATTGAAAAATCTGTATAGACAACGAAGAAATGCCCCTTTTTTCAAATGTCCCAAAACACGACCTAGCTTCAAGTGTCGAATGATCAACTTGTCCGTTTTTAAAGAGTTAATTCGTACAAAGGCAAACCGGCAGTTCTTCTATTCCCCTGTACACGTATGGACACTATTGGACACAAGGGTTAACTCTGCTAATTTTAGCAAAAGAGCTCATCGGAACTTTGGTCCAGTAGCCTACGCCAATGTGTACTTGGAAATCAGGTCATCAATGATTTCGCAATACTTATTGCTCACAAAACACACACGCCTCACTTTTCACTGAGAGTGATAGTCGGCTCGGCTTATCTTTCAAGGAGTTTTGTTTGCCCCGGCCGCCTTTGCCAAAAGAATGAATTTAAAGAAGCTACTGTGTTATAATAACGTTGTACGTAGTTTATCGGAAAGTCCAGGCGTTTGCGCAACTTTCAGCGTGTCGCAAACGATCGACCTTACTTTCATAAAAAAAATAATTAAAAAAAGATTGTTCTTCAGGCTAGCAAGGAGGCTGCCTACGCACGACTGACAATGTCACTGTCACACATTCTGTCGAAATCATGTACAAATCTAAGACGCCACCCTTTGTCGAGGGACTTGGGGGGGGGGGGGGTTATGTCTTACACAATATCATTAGTTTTTTAAAGAATATTTCTTTAAACAGAAGGGGGGAAATGAGAAATGGCCGTTTAGTGAATGTCTTATTTGGCTGTTAGTAGTTATTAGAGCAGTCCGACTGTATTTGTCACCCCCATCGACCCAGTAGATCAGGGGTCTAAAATAGGCCAGGGCAAGATCGACTCTGGGATCGATTCTTTCGACTCCAAATGAGGACTCAAAGAATCGATCTTGTTCCATGTTCCCAGACTCTAAGCTTCGA